GCACCAACAGCAGCACCAATTACACCTAAAATACCCGTTGGTGCAACGATAGAAGCAATTAAGCCAGCTTTTGAACTAGATTGTGATGAAGTTTGATCTTTAATCGAACGATCATTTGCTAATTCATCTTTAATAAGTTTACTTGTAGTAGAATACGTATAATGTATAGTTGTTTGCTGTGTTAATGATGTTATTATATTATGATTAAAGAAATTATCACTACCAGGAGGTTTAGGAGCAACACCATCACTTTTTGCAGTACCATCTAGAAGTTGTCGACGTTGAATTAATGATTTACGTAATGGTGTTTTCAATGGAGCATATAATTTGATAGATAAAGAGATACTAAGAAGGTAGAAGAGGAAGAAGATTTGATAAGAAATAATCATTTGCATTTGTATTTAATGAAACTATTGGCGCTGGTCAAGTTAATGAAACAGTTCTGAACAGTGGATTTAGTTCAGTTATAGAAAGCATCGTACAGACATTAGGATAGTTACGAATGTTGAAAAGCTGTGAAAACCATAAAAACAATATTTCGTAGTTGAATAAAAGTCGAATATCATCTAGTTGATCATGATTATAAACATAAAAACTATTTAGAATTTCATTTTCCATAAGAGAAGAAATATCAAAACCATTATATCTTTTTCTTAGGTAGTACTGATATCACGCAACCAAATTTTAATCCATATTATTATTTACTTGCTCATAAATCAACTGCGAAGTACGTTGATTTATATTCATGAAATATATTTTATACTTATTTTATTGAATATAGTTTCGATGAATTACGTAAAAATCTCGATCATCTAAAAAGAACCCAATCTGATAATAAAGGTGCATCAACAACACTTGTTAAAAATAATATAGCATCATTTATGGAAGCTGTTGATATAATGAAAGGTTTGTTTAATTGAACGAAATATAAAAGAATATTTTGTCATGTCATATTTAGATATCCGACGTTTCTCAGCGGATGATCGAAAGAAAAATTTCTATGAACCTGTTATTAAATTAGTTGAAGGTTTTTATTCTTTTAAGATTTATTTAGACAAAAAAATAATAAATTTCGTTTTTTCTCTTATAGACATATCTCATATTGCTCATTCAATGTATGATACTGATTTAGCACGAAAAGATTACTCTGATACAATACGTAATGCATTGAATGTTATACAAAGATATAAATTTATTTTTCATTTACCACAAACTATTGAACGAAGTGTTAAACGAGTAAATATTGAATTATTCAAAAAAAACTAGAACAAAGTATTAATAATGACAATACATTTTTTTTAAATAGGAAGAATATGAAAAAGTCATTAATGATCTTGTTCGTGCACGTGCAGCATTTGAAACAGTTGATTCAACAGTCTTTCGAAATAGTATGTAAATTTATATATAAAGATTATCTTTAATAAAATTTCTGTGCTCATTTTTAGTCCAACGAGAAGTTGAACAACAAATTCAAAATCTACGTACATTATTTCGACAACGTCTTACAGAATTTCCATCAACAATTGATGATCAAAAATTATTTATTCGTTATTTACATTCACTTGATCCAAAAGCTGATCCTGCATGGGATTGTATTATTCATCAGAAAGCAGCACTTATCGATGTACTTCGTTCATGTGTAGTTGATCCTAGACAACAACAACAGAGTAAATCTTACTTAACACTAATATAAAACTCTTAAAATGCTAAAAGCAGGAATTCATACTTAAGGATGCACAGTTTCAGAAAACCGTGCACTGTCAATACCGACACTGACGCACCGTAGCACTGACAACATTGACACCGGGCTCACCGATACAGTGGAACCGCCCGGATACCGAAGGTGCTAGTTGAATCCACAGCATCAGTGAGCCCGTTGTCAGTGCTATGGTACGCCACTGTCAGGGCTGCAAGTGACAGTTTTTCAGTATTTGCACTGAAACTGCGCATCCCTATTCATACTACAAATTGTTAAGTGGAAGATTATTGAGCTCAGATTTGAACCATAACTTTGATAGATAATTCTTTTTCTATCAAAATTTAATGATTGTGTCGAGAATTGGTATACTCGATAATCTCAGTACAGATCTTATGAATGCAAAGTTATAACTGTCGTCTGTTATGTTCAAAATCTTTGAATATAACCAAACTTAAATTCAATAGATTCTAATATTCATACTAAGTTTGTATTGATATTCTGTAATATACAATAGACCAAAAATGAATCAATTAATGATTTTTAATCATCATTAAGATCGAAGTACTATTTTTTCCAGTAAACATCAAAGTTAATATCATCCCTGATCAGAAAAATTGACAGTGTCAAATCCCTACGGACAATAGTCTATAGATTCTTATAAATAAAGAATAAATTTCTTTTGGGAAATATCTTTTTATTATTAATATGTACTTAAAATATGATAATTTTTTGAAATAGCACATGAAATAAAACTTCATCATGATCAAGCAACTAATGCCGTTGATCAAGCATGTGATGTTCTTACAACAGCTTTTCCTGATCTTTGGTACTTAATACAATTATATTTAAAAAAGAAACTTTATCCATTATCTGAAGTAAATCAACACAAGATATTTTTGTCTATAAATATATTTTCTTAAAAATTTCTAGAAATCTGATGAAATTGATAAAACTTATACACATAGAGCACCAGAATTTTTGGTAAATAATACTTTTTTTATTAAACTAATTCTATTAATGATTTTCTATTAGGCTTTAACAAAAGAAATTATTCAAACATTTATTAATGTTGTTCGATTGAATTTATTAAATCGATCGACAACAAAAAAATCTGATATGACATCATCACAAGACGATGATCTATATACAAATGCTGATGAAACATATCAACGTGTTAAAACATTACCACATTGTGTACAAAACTGTCGGTAAGTCTTTATTTATTTCTTTTAAATTATTTACTTTTTGTTTTTGATAACATAGTTTATGTGTATTACACCTTGTTTCACTTGATATTCAATTGGATTTTAAAAAAGAATTACAACAACTCATGTTTGATTTACGTTTAGAATGTTTTAAGGTTATTATGGATCATGCTTGCTTAGGTAAATTTATAATACGAAAAAAGAAAGAATCTCAAGATATAACTGATATTTATTTGAGCATTATTAATAAATCATATTCAAAAAGACAGTTTCAATATCTCTGTTAGAAGTAGTGAGCAGCGGAGTCGAAAAATTCAATTCCGAAATATGTTTTTTTCCAATTATGAAGTGGAGTACTCTCTCTCTTCAATCATTTTCGTAAGATATCAGACGTATTAATAAAGATTTCTTTTGTAGAAGTATCTCGTTTAAATACTCAAGAAACATGGGAATTAGAATGTGATGAACATCTTGGTTCACATACAAAACTACCAAATTTATTTCATGATATGATCGTAACAAAAGCAAATATTATCTATGAAAATGTTCTTTCTGTTAATGTAACCAAAGGAGAACGAAAAGT